ATATTTTTATTCCAAGGAAAAAACATAAATATGTCATTTTGGTGATCAAAGATTAGTTTTACGGGATACAGGTATTGATAGGGGACTTTTAATCTGAAGCATTCAAACACTTTTAATAAAGTACATAGTACGAGTGGATGAAGATTCTTTGAATGATATTATTTGAAGAATATAAAGTTTAGAAGAACAGAATTTATCTAAAAAAGAACATCTTTTGTTAAAAGTGTCACTTTTGATCAGTTTAATGCATCCTTGCTGAATAAAAGTGTTCAAAACGTACTGACCGTAAACTTTTGAATGGTAGTGTATATTATGCTTTCAAGTTGAGAAGCTGAACTGATAGTTTGTATGAAATGTACTTTATTTTATAGCTAATATTTTAGAAACAACAAGTGTCCCACGGACAGTGCTGGGAGTTACGCATTACAAGTAATGGGAGTTACGTATCAGATTACTTATTAAAGGTGCTATATGTAACTTTTCTTCTAAAATTAATCTTTTTTTATTGATTACAATCCCTTCGCTTCGCTTGATCGTTTCGCTTGATAATACATTTACTCATCATCTGGAATAGTTTAAAGCCCTTTGAAGCTGCACTGAAACTCTCATTTGGACCTTGAACCGTTTGGTTCCCATTGAAGTCCATTATATGGAGAAAAATCCTGGAATGTTTTCATCAAAAACCTTCATTTCTTCTCGACTGAAGAAAGAAAGACATGGACATCTTGGATGACATGGGGGTGAGTAAATTATCAGCAAAAGTTTTTTCAAAAGTGAACCACTCCTTTAAGTAACTAAAGTAACGATTACTTTTAAATTTACAACACGATGAGTTACTTTTCAAGCGAGTGACTCCATGTTGTGACTGACAGCTCACATGTTGAGCGAAATCATAAGTGTGTGTAAACAGGATGGTTTTTCTATTTTTTCTAACTTTAAAAATAATAAGTTGTATTTATAAAGTGCCTTTCAAGTACGCTGTAAGGAAAGACTTTGTTTCTCAGCGCTTCACTGACCGAAGCCTCATTCTCACTCCCTAAGTGTGTGAAAAGCATTAGCGATTAACTCTTGAAAATGGTGTATTTAGAAGATGAATCCTTTCCCTGGGACCCAATGGCTTCTCCCCCAGCTTCTGCCTGACATCTCCATAAAGCACCTGAGATTGAGTATCAGTAAAATCCTCCAACTCGCCACATTTGTGGATTTACAGCCGGCTGGGGGAGACCAGGCTCCCGACAGAAGAGAGACTGCACCTGTCTCTCACACACCTAATACAGAAACAGGTGGAAAGAGCCGCTCTGACCACCAAACCCGAGGAAAAGCCAACGCAAACATGAAGGTCGAGTCGTCTCCCGTGATTGCGTCCTGTTTTCAGTTCACAAAAAGATGGATGGGATAAACACACTTCAAATGCTCCCGATACTCCCCACATATATCAGCGCCTTTTGATATTTAAACACATTTTGTGAACTTTGACTCCACAAATCCTGCACAAGACCTAATGCCCGGGGAAGATAAATCTCACAAATCCTGAGACTGATGTCAGGCGAATGGATCTCCGGAGAAGAGCGCATGAGTAATAACCTGACGAAGACGGCAGCCTCCCCTGTGACGAGGATCATTGTTGGATCCGTTTTCAATTTGCGCAATGTGCAAAATAAATCAAATCCGAGGGACACTTAAAAAGTGCAAACATGGCAACTTTACAAGAAGATCTGAGTTTCCTGTGGTGTCAAATAAGGCTTGACCACACCTGACAAGAGATGAACCGAAGAGCCGTTATGCCACATTATGCGCACAGCGTTTTTTCCCACGTTTCTTTTCACGCTCGGTGGAAGAAAAAGTGCAGAGGATGCATTTGGTTTCCCTCACACCGGCCCGCAATAGCCATTAATAATTCCAGAGGAAACCAGAAAAAATCACTTTGAAAAACAAGCTTAAGCGAGCGCCTCCAATTTGATGTTAAAATATTTACTTTCAGCCACCTGTGGGAGGTCTCTGTTTCTCGTCTTCGCTCGCGCGCTCTATATTAAACACTGTGAACTGCATTACAGCTGCAGTCCCGGGATGCTGAAGTGCTCTGGTAATTGTTTCTGTCTTCTGCACATTAGACAGGCCTGCATAATTAGAGCCATTTTACACAGAACTGATTGCTTTGGTTAGTAGTTTCAGGATTGTAATGGAGGAACGCAAGAGGTTTGAGTGTTGAGCTTGTTGATATTTCCACTCGAACAAGCCACCTATAAGGAGACAAGTGACTCGCATATACAGCCTTTTAATAATTACGCTCACCATCATTATACAGTAATTGTACAACTACACTCTAAAAATTGCTGGGTTGTTATAATCAACCCGGTCTCATCCCAAGACGTCATATAACTGATGTTTTATACGTCAATATTCGCCTTTTTAGGGCCCCCTTAAACGTCGGTATGAGGTTATGGGATCCTAATTCTACCCCAGACCTAAACTTAACCCTAAACCTAACCCGTCACCTAACTGACGTTAAAGGTAAAGCGTCAGTTGTATGACGGCCCGGGATCGCCATCTACCGACGTTTAAGGGGGCCCTAAAAAGGCGGATATTGACGTATGGTCAAAAAACGTCCCAAGACGTCAGTTATATGACTTTTTGGGATGAGACTGTGTTATTATAATCCAACTTTGGGTCAAATATGGACAAACCCAGCCATTGGGCTTAATTTTTAGCCCAACCTTTGGGTTTGTCCATATTTGACCCAAAGTTGGGTTAAAACAACCCAGAATTTTGGTGTGTGTGTGTGTATACAAGTATATACACTCTAAACAATGCTGGGTTGTTTCAACCCAAATTTGGGTAAAATATGGACAAACCTAAATGTTGGGTTAAAAGTGTAATTAAGCAAATTACAGTCGAAAGTGAAAGTTGAAGTTGGGTTAAAATTTGGGTTTAAAATTTAACATTTGGGTTTGTCCATATTTGACCCAAATTTGGGGTAAAACAACCCAGCGTTGTTTAGAGTGTAGCCTACATATAGTGTGTATACACATCACGGTATTTATAGAATGCATTATTAATGTATTTTTTTTATATAAAATATGATTTATTTTAAAATAATACAACACTCTAAACAATGCTGGGTTGTTTGAACCCAACATTTGGGTTTTTCCATATTTGACCCAAATTTGGGTTGAAGCAACCCAGCATTTTTTAGAGTGTATGATTTGTGCGTTCTGATTAAATGGAATTAAATTAACATATGCGTATTGTATATATATATATATATATATATATATATATATATATATATATATATACACTCTAAAAAATTCTGGGTTGTTTTAACCCAACTTTGGGTCAAATATGGACTAACCCAGCCGTTGGGTTAAATTTTTACATTACATTTTTAACCCAACATTTTGGGTTTGTCCATATTTGACCCAAAATTGGGTTAAAACAACCCAGCATTTTTTAGAGTGTATATATATATATATATATATATACACACATACACTATCCTACTGTGTGTGTATATAAACACAGTGTGTGTAGAGACCTATATATGTGTGTGTGTGTGGCCTCATTTTACTACTCCAGTCTTCAGTGTGACACATATATATATATATATATATATATATATATATATATATATATATATATATATATATATATATAAATAGAATAAATAGGGCTGGGCAATGATTAATCGCATGCAAAATAAAAATGTATGTTTAAATAATATGTGTCCGTAGTGTGTATAACTATTTTGTATATATAAATTTTGAGCAAGTAAATGCAGGTTTGATGAGCATAAGAGACTTCTTTTAGACTTTTGACCGGCACTTATACAAACATAAATTTAGCTATTAGCTCTTTTAGTATTAACTTATTTCTACTTTGGAAGTCTGTTTATTTAGCATCGGTTGTTATTTTGTAGAGATCAGAATTCGAACAGGATTAGAATTGAGGTGTCGACGACCTCTAGTGGTGAGATGGATGAACTGAGGGAATACATATTACAGTGAACACAAACTCTGGTGTTAAAGTACCTTCCATGTTTTGTAAGGATTTTATATTACTTTTCACAGTAAAAAATAAATAAATAAATTTAAAAAAAAAGACATGAGAAAATATTTTCATCACCTGACGAGGGCAAGGATTCATATTCCATAAACTCCTCCTGAAAACTAAAATAATATGAGGAGAATTAGCAGACATTGGACGTGTACGATAGTAGAATCATGATGTTTGGACATGTAGCATGCAATACCATGCTAATCTTATAAATATTAAGGTTTATGAAAATGTGTTGTGTACTGCCATTTGTTCATCTGGTGCTGTGCCAATTGCACATCATATAGCAGATCAATAACACAAACTTAGAGAATACCATGTCTCACAGTTCAGGTGAGTTACACATTTTGTGTGAGACTTGTATACATTTTCAACATAAACTTAATAATGTCACCATTGAAACAACATTTTAGCAGAAAATATGCAGTTAACCTGAAAAAGACCAGATAGATGTTGTGAAAGATGTCACAACACAAACATAAATATAATTTAAAATATGTTTTATATATAACACCGATAATTTTGGTGTAGAAAATCGTTCAATTTCTGTGTTTTTTTTTTTTTTTTTTAAAGACTAACATTCTCGACGTCATTTATAAATTAATTTCCCTATGTAGCATACTAAATAAATAAATTATATATATATATATATATATATGTTTAGATATTATACATTTTCTCTGTAACACGCGTCGTAAACCATCCAAAGTGACAGCTGTTTGGATCAAATGTCAACTGATTCGTTGAAATTTTTATAGTGTTTTATCATAAATGCTAATCTAGATAAATTACTAAATTAAAAAACGCAATTGCTGCGCATGAAAATCTGTCAACGAAAGGCAACACATGAGCAACTCTGTAATTTTACTAATAAATAAAAAAAAAACGCTGAAGTTGAAGCGCCGAAAGTGCGGCTGCTGAACTCTCCGACGCGTTTCCAACCGGGGTGATGATGACGTATCTCCGAACAGTCAACAGACACACATACCCAGTCGGTCCGGACTGTAGCTTCAACGGGGCCAATATTTTCTCTTTTTCTGCTTGTCTGTGCGTTTTGGCGATGTGAAAAGCATCGTTCCATCAAGGCGGCCGGTATAGAGTGTTTAAACGGAGTAAACGAGTCCGTTCGTGGCGGTTTTTGGGGATGAGCGTGCGCTCCGGACTGTGACGCCTGTGTTTATTCGTGTTCACTGCGACACAGAAAGTGACAGTGCAGGATTCCTCGTCTTGACAGCTTAAAAACACGACTGGAGCGTTAAAACATTTAGATGATTGACCTAAGGAGTCCGTTTTAGTACTTTATTCGTCTTGGTGTAGGACAGCAGGCCAGTCGAGAAAGCCTGGACTTCATCAGCATAATATTCATCATCCCACGGCTTGTTTATACTTGCTTTAAATGCAAAGTTATCAGTGCTTAACTTATTCTTTAACGCGTTGAGAGGAAATTAACAGTATTAATGGTGCACAGGGACGTTATAAATACAATGTTTGCTTATAATGTTGTCATGAATTGCATTTGAGACTTTAAATGCGGCTAAACCTGATTCAATTTGAATGTGAAAGATGTTGTAGGTGTTTACCACTTTGATTAGAGCACATCATTTGACATATATACTGATTTGCCTTTTGCACTAGACCACAGCGATGCATTTTAGGTGCATAAATAAGACAAGTATAAAAACAAGCGCTTCTATGATGTGAACTTTTAGTTAGTGATGCACTCACTAAGCAGATCTTGAACGGTTTTCTCTGGAATTGAACTGCATTGTAGGTGTGTGAGGGAACTTCTATCGTTTTTAGTGTTCGACAGGCAGTGGCGTGCTCCAGCTCCCTGGAAATGAGAAGATGAATTGCGAGGGTCAAGCTGGAGATTTTTGCAATGCTATAGATTTGTGCAATGTCCCTGACAACACTACATCACCAGAGATCCTTCCCCGTGACACGTTGGATGGAGACCAAGGGGAACGGGACGCTGCCGTCCTGGCCAGGTTAAAAGACATCCATTTAAAGGATGATGCTTCCACAGAGCTCAAAGCACCGCATAGTAAAAACAATGGATCCATTGCAGTATCCGCAGAGCCCTTTAATGGTTCTGCGGGTGACCTCCAACAGAGTTTAAGCCAGTTTGAGGAACCGCCGGTGATCAACTGTTCTGTTGGAGATGGTGGTGATGATGGGGAGATGGATATTGGAGTCGATTTAAGTCTCGACGAAAATGGCGTTTTAGAGGTCGAACCAGCGGCCAACACTCAACCCGAGGAAAGTGCCTCTAGTGTCAACTCTCAAATATCCGTCATAGAACTGCATTCGCAGGAACGTAGGGACGACAACGCGCCAGTCTCGGCTACAACACCGGACGACGGAGTTGGGATTAAGCACGGGTCAAAGAGAGTGACCTTTCCATCAGACGAGGACATCGTCTCTGGTGCCGTTGAGCCGAAGGACCCTTGGAGACACGGTGAGTGGATCTTTAAACCGTCAATCCAAGTCTGATGTTTGTGCATATCCCATTGGAATCTGAACCTATTTAGCTAATGTGACACAAAAATCACATTGCATGGTTTGAAATCCTACTCGAATATAATCCGTTTCAGCCTGTCTTTACCAGCCGCTGCAAGTCGACCGTTTCCACACACCTAATAAAGCTGCCTGCCAACATTTCTGCTTTATTAGACGTAGAAAGTTGCAAACCCATTCGTGTTTTAGGCCTCATTGTCATAGAAGTGCCACGGTGAACACACACACACACATCAGACTGTGATACACAGATCTTTGAGATTAGATTCCAATCAGATTTTGACATTTTGAACCCTTGCATCTCAAATCCAGAGTTCATCTCCTGCGGCTTGCATTGTTGCCTAAAAGGTTTGCGTAATTGTGCTCCGACTTTGCCAAGGCTTTGAACATGGCTTCTGTTACCTGTCATGCTCCGAGAAGAGAACGGTGGCTTTTTCCTGAAAGACTCCGTGATCCATGTGACATTTGATCCGTGAGTCCTCCAGGGTCATTCAACGGCTCTGTAACAACTGCAGAAAGCTTTTACGATCCGTCTCTGAGCCTCGGGCATCTGTCTGACTGATATGGAGAAACCTCTCTCGAACCCTTCCAGACGTTGCGTGAAGCTCATTCTGAGATCTCAGCATCTTGTAGACGGAGTAGCGTTTCATCTCTTGGAAAACACGATGACCTTGCATTGTTTGGTTTGATTGGCTGCAGTGTGTTTGAGCCAGCAAAAATATAACCGCTTTATTCTTTGCTTTCTAGGCCACAGATATGTGAGGTGTGTCTCTGTTTACCCTGCAGGGAATCTCCTTTGCGTATCGCACTGGTCCGTGTGTCTGTGGAAACTCGACAATTAAAACAACAAAGCCGTCGAGACACAATGTATCTTTGTATCAGTGTTTTGACTGACAGCTGCTGTTTGTTTGCTGAGGCTAGTTGTCGCATTATAGGAAGTTGGAAAGTTCAGCATATTTAACAAATATGTGTTAGTGTACTTCGTTTAGCCTAGTTTTGATGTCGTAGTCATCTGTAGAAGTCTGTCAATTACATACATATAGCCTAATGGTGAACAACATGCATTGATTTGCATATAAATATGAATAGGCTTGCCTATCTAAACCTAAAGTGTTGTTCATGACTTGTTTTTGCAATATAAATTATAGGCCTATTGCGAAAAATTACAAATACAATAATATATGCCATCATGAACGACACTTTTATAGTATTAATCTTGGTTAATGCAAACTTCTACATATATTGACACATTTTTTTAACATTTCAGGTTGTTTAAATTAACATTTAAGGAGTAGTTCACTTTAAAAAAAAAAAACTTTTGCTGATAGTTAACTCACCCCCATGTCATCCAAGATGTCCATGTCTTTCTTTCTTCAGTCGAAAAGAAATTACAGTTTTTGATGAAAACATTCCAGGATTTTTCTCCATATAATGGACTTTAATGGGAACCAAACGGTTCAAGGTCCAAATGAGAGTTTCAGTGCAAACTGTTCAAAGTGCTTTAAACGATTCCAGACGATGAATAAGGGTCTTATCAAGCAAAACAATCGCTCATTTAAAAAAATAAAATAAAGTTTAAGTTTTATAAGCTCAAATGCTCGCCTTGCTGTGATGAGCGTTCGTGACTCTCCTGTTCAAACTCGTTCATCAAAATGAACGAATCTTTTTTCGTGTCATTTGGTTCATTCAATTAACGAAATGAACGAGTTGACTGGAAAAGATTTGTTCATTTTGATGAACGAGTTCGAACAGGAGAGTTCTTTTAGACCCTGAACCGTTTGGTTCCCATTGAAGTCCATTATATGGAGAAAAATCCTGGAATGTATTCATCAAAAACCTTAATTTCCTTTCGACTGAAGAAAGAAAGACATGGACGTCTTGGATGACATGGGGGTGAGTAAATTATCAGCAAAAGTTTTTTTTTTTTAAAGTGAACTACTCCTTTAATCCATTATGATGAACGAACAATAGCCTATTCATTTGTTACCCTTTACAAATAAATTCTGTAAAAAATGTTTGCTGTTAGTCCATGAGACGAAATGCATTAAGCAAGTTGAACAACTGTTACGTAACGTTGTTGCATGTATATTAAAGGCCTGACATCGTTTGAAAGATCATTAGTAGTGTTTACTAATTTAAAGCAAAGGCATTGTGTAATTTGGTATCTTAGTGTTCATAAAAACCATCAAGACCAGTGTGCATTTTAAAGCATCTCTAGGTGCAGTTATCCAGGATATTAGTGGTAATAGCCTGTAATGTTAAGGTATCTGACCCGCTAGCACAAAGGTTGCTGGTTAATTTCCAAGTAATGTTGTCCGTGGAGATTTCCTGCAATCCCGGTCCTGCTCCGCCACTATTATGACTTTGAGCAGAGAGCACAGTGTACTTGGTCGCTGTCCTTGCAAATATTGGACTTTGAGTAAATTGCAATGGAGTAACTATAGCTAGTTTAATTACTCATGTGAGTGAACCCTGATCGCATTAAAGCTGATCCAAGAACGCTAGCTTTTATATCACAGGTGTTGGCAGGTCTTATTTCACAGTCGCACATTGTTCTCTTTGTTGTTTAGGTATGAGGAAGTAGTTTGCGTCACATGACTGTACTGTACACTCTATAGTTTCCTTATATTCGGAGTTGAACTTCCCACTTTTGTGGCATGGTTTCCTACAGCCTTTCCTCTGACCCAGAGCTTTTGGACTCAGGGAAACACTAAGTGTTTGTGTGTCTCACATCATTGATTTCCTGAGATCTGAGTTGAAACCAAGCTGTGTGTTCTCTTTTATTTGTGTTTACAATGATGACTTAGTCCTCCTGTGGTGAAAATCAAGCTTTTAATCTTGTTTATATGTCTATGCGGTGCTTTAAGACAAACCATGTGTAAATTCATAAGTCAAAACATTTTCTGCTTAAAACTGCAGTGAACCAAACAAAGACAGCGGTTTGAAATCGCTGGTGTTTCTGACATCACAAACGACCTTGTAACCAATTTTTTTATGTTTCTGCAAGGATTTGCAGAATAAGAATGTCATTGCACTACTCTCCTGTGCATATGAAATAAAAGTTTAAATAAGAATTTGTTTATTTAACATATTTATTTAAACAACCCCCCATCCCCTGCACCTTTGGGTAGTTTGTCCATTGGGTAGTTTGTTCTTTGGGTCGTTTGTCCTTTGGGTCGTTGGTCCATTGGCTAGTTTGTCCTTTGGGTAGTTTGTCCATTTGCTATTTTTTTCTATGGGTCGTTTGTCCTTTGGGTCGTTGGTCCATTGTGTAGTTTGTCCATTTGCTAGTTTGTCCATTGGGTAGTTTGTCCATTGGGTAGTTTGTCCTTTGGGTCGTTGGGTCGTTGGTCCATTGGGTAGTTTGTCCTTTGGGTCGTTGGTCCATTGGGTAGTTTGTCCATTGGGTAGTTTGTCCATTGGGTAGTTTGTCCATTTAGTTTGTCCTTTGGGTCGTTGGTCCATTGGCTAGTTTGTCCTTTTGGTAGTTTGTTCTTTGGGTCGTTTGTCCTTTGGGTCGTTGGTCCATTGGCTAGTTTGTCCATTGGGTAGTTTGTTCTTTGGGTAGTTTGTCCACTGTGTAGTTTGTCCATTGGGTAGTTTGTCCATTTGCTAGTTTGTCCTTTGGGTCGTTTGTCCTTTGGGTAGTTTGTCCTTTGAGTCGTTGGTCCATTGGGTAGTTTGTCCAATTGGGTAGTTTGTCCAATTGGGTAGTTTGTCCATTGGGTCTTTGGTCCCTTGGGTCTTTGGTCCATTGGTTAGTTACTGGTCCATTGGGTAGTTACTGGTCCATTGGGTAGTTACTGGTCCATTGGGTCGTTGGTCCATAACCCCCGAGGTGGTAAAAAAAACTGCCACGTTACGCCCTAGCAACTACCGCACCCATTTTGAGTTTCTACTGTTTAATTTTTTTATTCTTTTATAATCCGTTTTATGTTATGTGAAATAAAAGATAATATCTAGGCTAAAGCTATTAACTTTTTGAATCTAATCTTGTCCTGGGGGAGATTTGACACTTTTAAACACTAGTGATGGTTTCATTCAGGCCTTTTTTGATGTGTCTTCTCAGCTAGAGGGAAAGGGCGTGGGTGTGTTTTTCTCTCCCTCTCGACACACACACCGTGGCACTGCTGTGTGAATGACTTTGAGGTCCGCTGAAATGAGGTGGTGTGAAGATCTATTTTTGAACGTATCGCTCAGATGTTACTGACCCGTGGCGTCCCGGAGAGCCACAGCTCTGCGCCCCTCGTGCTGATCTCACGCTTGGGCTCAAACATCATTCAGTTTTTGAATAATATTTATCGCAAGAATACTTTGGTCAAGTTTGGAAAGCGTTTGGACTTTAGCCTGTTAACCAATTTATTTATTTTGCCTTGGTTTGTTCCATTCTAAAGTTTTTTACTTTTATCTAGAGTGTTGTTGTGTTATTAGCATGATGCTCTATCATTTCAGGGCACCTAAAAGGCCAATCGGACAAATTTGCTCTTTCCAAACAAAGAGAAGGTCAAGCCAATGAATTAAAGCATTTCCTCATGGTTATGAAAATATCCCATCCTTTTACCAACCCAAGCGATTGGCCTTCCTTGTTATAAAAGTCTGACTTTTGTTGTCACTGCAACTTTATGGCAATAGCAATGAGTTCAAAGCGATGGGAGGAATAGAAGATTGCTTTCATTTTGTACGCTTTGCTTTGTTGGTCTGTGAGTTATTGGGAGGCTTACGGAGGAGATTGTTGTTTATGACAATCTCGTTTGGTCTGTGGTATTTCAACTTTGCGAGCAATTTTATGCTGAGTCTGAAACATTGGAGCTTTCTAGAACTTTTCAAGCTTTAATATTAAGATGTTTTTTTTTGTTGTTATTACAGTCACTTTATAAATGTCTTGGGAACTTTTTCCCATGCCTTCATTATTGTGACAACTGTTTTGCTCATAATAAAGGT